AAAGAGTGGAATGAACAAAACTAAATGGTTGCTTTATGTACATCTCTTTTTAAGGTATCTCATTCAAGAATGCATTATTATAAGGTTCTAGTTGATTGGTATGCTAACACTGAGAAACGATAATAATAAAAACCAAACAAATTATTGTTGGCTTAACTATGACTTAACTACTCTTAAGATCATATGTCATGTTATGATTTGCACCAATATCAAGAAACCAGATAATAGAAATAGCAATGATAACATTACTAAATGCTAAATTAGAATTAGATTGCAAATTATGAGTAGTTAACTAAGGGCATTACTGCGTGACCAAAATCATAACATAGCTAGCAATTTACATACCAATTATTAAACCATTAATTTAAGGAGGAGAAATAGGTGTCTTGTTGCCAAAAATTATATCCAAAACTATATTTGTTGTTGTTATGGAGAATATTATTGTTGTTATTGTTTCTCCATCCACCATAAAACCATTCATTAGCATTGTAGTTCTGATAGTAATTATAACCATTAGACTTTGAATAATCTCCATGAGATTGGTAGGATTGCCACTGAGCAAGGAAAGCTGAAAAGGACTGAGCAAGTGTCGATATAAAAGGAGCAAGTCTAATAGGTCCAAAAATAGGTTAAATAGAACTTTTATAGAGAAACTCATATATTACTAAGTGATTATGAAGGTTGGTATAATAAAAGGGCTAGGTTTTAGTAAAAAGACTAGTGCGAAATCTTTAAACTCTACTCTCAACCCCCTAAAAGCATAAAGATTAAAGTTTTTTAAAAAGACCAGTCTTTATACAATAGTTAATTCATTAAATAAATAGTTTACTTATTTACAAATAAATATTAAATGTATAATCTCTTTTTCTTAACTCTTTAAAGAAACCTTGAAGTTTTATAAATCTGAAATTATATGGTGAAGTAAATGTTATTTCAAGAGTTTGTGAGATGTTACTATGTTTACAATTAACAACAAGGTGTAAGACTTTAATAAATAAAAAAAAAAACAAGGACAAAAAAGCTCTCATGATTAAAAGATCATATTGTTTCCATAAAAGAAAAGAAAGATTAATTATAGGGGCAACTATATGAAAGAGAGGACTAGGAAAAAAACCATCAACAAAAGAATAAACCCAATAATCTTGTAAATAGAGCTTCATTTACATCTTCTAATTATAAAAATTAATATTAGTTAACTTTAAAGAAATAACTTATTATGTGTTAAAAAGTAGAGTTAAGACTACACCATGAGAAGTTATAGCTATTAAATGAAAATTCTTAGTAGTAGTTAATAGGAAAAAAACAGTAATTAGTGCAATAATAGTTAACAAAAAAGTTGTAATAATCAGTGCAATAGTAAAAAGAGAGGAGGTAGCCATCAATGCACTATAAATTGAGTAAGGAGCAATCAATATAGTAAAAATTAGGTGGAAGCCACTAATTGATTGATTGTATGATCCATTAAGAGTAGTAACGTAAAATAGGCTTTAATATCAAGTTAGAAAATATAAAAAACAAGTTTTGTGAATAATATCTAGCTTTAACTAATGTTAGCAACTATCTTTTATATTTATATATTTAGGCATGTGTACAATAACAAGCGTGCAATACATTATATAGGATCACAAAACTATACAAGGTATACATAAAGTTGTACAATATAATTCCCATAATAGTGTGATACTATTGGGTCATGTGCAATCGAGTTAGATTATTATTTTTAAGGTAAAAAAAAAGTGTAAACACAACTAATGTGTTGAAAAATAGCAAAATAAAAACATAATTTGAGTCGATCCAAGCTAGCTATTAAACTTATAACATAAGTCACAAGACTATAATAAATTTATAGAAAAAAATAAAAAACCATGAAACTCCTTTTCTAACAGATCCAATATTGGAAGTTGAAATCGAGAGAAAAAAAAAACTAAATCCATATAACTAGAATATCTCCACAAAAAGAAAATTGAAAAAAACTACAAAACTCAATTCCCAAACAAGAAAAAATTGAAACAAAATCTAAATAAATAAATAATAGATTGAGTTGTTAGAGGGTAAAATTAAAGAAAAAATCAATTAAAAAGAATAAAAAATGAACTAATTTAATTGAAGTCAACTTGTCAAATTCACGACTCAAATCATAAAATTGAGGTAATCCCATACAAAACAAATAAAAAAATTATAAAACTGATATAAATAATATTGAATTAAAAAATAACCTAAAAATAAGCAGAGTCAACTCAGTTAACTTTTTAAACTTATGACTCACATCATGAAATCAGGACAATTCTATAAAAAAAATTACAAAATCTAATTTTCAACTAATACAATATTAATAAATAAGATTAAAAAAATAATTTTAATTAAATAAAATACCTAAAAAAATTTTATATCAATACAAGTTAACTTTTTAATTCTCTAGGCAACAAGCAACCTATTTTATGTTTTATTAATTTCTTTGAATTGTATTTATTACATTTATTTTTATTTTTCTAAATTATATGGTACCGCGGGGGATACCGCGACATTCAGCAGGTGATATTATACAGGATATTTAGTTAGTGAATGAATATTTTTAGTTATTTGAAATTCAAAGTAGATTAACCAATCAGGTAATTAAAAAAGTTTTAATTTATACATTATTAAATCACAAAATATGTTTAATTTAAAGACAAATGCACCTTAAAAAAAAACCCTTCTCCATCATATAATGTTTTTTCAAGGAAAAACATATTTAATTAATTTCCAACGTTGCTTTTATTTATTTATTTTTTAATTTACGTGGGGTGTCCGGGTCAGCTTACGCGCACCATGACTAATTCTCACGGCTCACTGAATATCCTGCAAACCCAGTAGGCATGTAAGGTATCACGGGGATGACAGACGTGCATGTCAGAGCTCGAATCCAAGTATAAGGGAAGAAAACAAATCCCTTTCACCGCTAAACCAATCATTGGAATGGACGGACGTTGCTTTCATTTATTTATTTGGTTGGAAGGCGGTTTGATAAAGTATTAAAGAAGAGCAATTTAGGCAGTAAATTAGTCATTAGAAAACAATTAATCAGAGAGTCAAAAGAGGAAAAAGAAGAGGCGATAAAACAATAATCACTCCAGAAGAAAAGTCTCTGCAACTCTCGATAAAGTAGGTGGCGCGAAAACAGCGTCCCTCGTCTCAACTGAAAAACCGTTTCCTTTCCTTCCCTCATTCTCAATTCGAAACCTTCTTTACTCTTTTTTTTGTTAATATTAATATATTACCTTTTCTCCCTCCCTCTCTCCATAAAACCCGGTCACTAAACTTCCCTCGCCGTGATATTCTCCCTACGATCACCGTTGACAGTCTCTCCTCTTTGGATCCGCCGTCCCTTGAAGCCGCCACCGTCTTCTGCTGTTCAATTCCCGATCCTTCTCCATGGCATTGAAGCGATATTAACGGAACTAATCATAATTGATTAGTTTCCATCATTGAAGAACAGTTTTATTAATGCCAGTGATTCCAGGTGAGAGACTCTCCCTTACTTTTTTGCATCTATGAAGACATTTTAATTTCTTTCCTTTTTCCCTCCTGAGACGGGTTAAATCCTGTTTCTAGACAAAAAATTGAGAAATATAAACAGTTTTTATGCTCCATAGAACTTGCGTGTCTTCCATTTCTGAAATCCATCAGAATTCAGAGAGATTTATACATTTTTTTTCTTCCATTTCATCGCTGTATTACTTGTCTTCGATGCCAAAGACATATAGACACGGTCATTGTATGTCAAATAGATTCTTCATTAGAAACCCATGTTAATTTTCTCTGAGAAATTTAAATCCTTCTGGGTTTTCATGGATCTGATCACTGAATCAGGATTTAAAAATCTCGCAAGTGGTCAAACTGTAAATTAGATAAGATGACAAGCTCTGCACACAAGGGAATCAATCCTATAATTTAAAAATATCACAAGTGGTCAAACTGTAAATTACACAAGATAACAAGCTCGGCACAAGTCGTCAAACTGTAAATTACAACTTTTTTTTTTTGAATTAATAATACTCGGAATTGGGGAGGGTTAGTAAGTGGTAGTAATTTATGGGGATGGACAATGGTCTTGCCTGCATGTGGTCTTCCATGTCTGTTCCCATACCACCAAGAACATCAGCACCTGCAACTTCAATCTTCTAATTATTAAAATATTTTAAATTATTCGCAAAAGAACAGATCACGTTATTTCCATAAATATTTTCTTGGACGTAATTTCACTAGATGACAAAATCAAGAAAACCCAGGTAAAAAAAATAAATTAATTCACTGCGTGATCCCGATGTGGTAACTCTTTAGTTCATTAATGCCCATCACAGTTATTTTATTTTCTCCCTGTAACATGTGACTTATTTCTCATTATTTCACTTAAACTGAAACAGTTTGCTGCAAAATTTCTGTTTTTAAAATTATTTTTTATTTTAAAAAAATAAATTAATATTTTTATTAGATATTTTTAAAGTATTAATATCAAAATTTTAAAAGAATTATAAAAAAACATTTGAAAAAAATTATTTATCAGATATATAGATGAAAAATAATATATTTTTCTGTTTCACAAGTATAAAAATTTGTTATAAAACCATATAAAATATAAATTAATTTGATATTTTTCTATTTAACTAAATATATTTATGTTTTTACTGTTTTTTAAGAAGTTTGTTTACGTGTGTAAGCTTTGAAATCATTTTCATCGCAGAAAAGTAGTAAAAAAGGAGAAGGAAACAGGGAAGGAGTGAGGTAATGTTGCGTGGTTGAGTGTACCTCAAATGCCAGGCCACCCACCCGACCATGGCACTCCCGTGAGAGGGATAAAAGGGCAAATTGTATAAGCTTAAAAACAAAGAAATTGAAAAAAAAAAAAAAAACAAGAAGAAGAAGAGAAAAAGAATCGCTCTTATCCTACGCACCCATTTTATTTTGTTTCTTTATTCTTTTATCCCTTACCTCTCCATCACAGGAGTCCACTCTTCAGTCTCCCCAATTTCATAGGGGACCCCTTAACACCAAGAGCTACTTTCCTTTTAGCCCGAGAAAGTGATGACCATTAATGCACGTTGTGCCCCTCTCCGGATTTTTCCGTGACCACATTTTGGCCCCGAATGGTCTTAACCTCTTTGTAATGGCATGATCTGATTGGATTTGGGCTTGTTTTGATGAATACTCAATACCCATTTGCATTTTTTTTGTTTTGATTCTCAAATTTGCATTCTTTGAGATCTGAGTCTCTGTAAAGATGTAAGCTTTTCTCAATTTTTGGGTTTTACTTTTTCTTTTTTATTGGTTTATATTCTTTTTTTTACTGCCATTCTGTAGCGTCTTACCTTTTTTTTCTTGGTTATGTGCATTTGTGGCAGATTTATTGCATGGAAAAGGATCTTCTTTTTTAACAACTTGTGTGATTCCTTTCAATGTGGTATACTAGAAAATGAAAGCTGTCAAATTTGGTTGTTTAATTATTTGAAAGAATCCATCAATGTGGTCTAATTTGGACAGTGTTTGATGGATGTATGTGAATTGGAGAAGCACACAGCAGTACTGGATACCCCAAGACCCCCCCTGGTTCCAGCTGAAAGAAACAGCAATGCAACAGCGAAAGCAGCAACCACCACCCGCCGTCCTCGGACGAGGGAAGTTGTTTCTAGGTACAAATCACCCTCTTCATCAACACCTTCTGTTGCTAGGCGTTTCCCATCACCGAGCCTCAGTAGAACATTGGCTGCACCTTCCCCGGTGGTGCCTAAAAGATCTCAATCGGCGGAGAGGAGGCGCCCTTCAACCCCACCTTCACCCCCAAGGCCTTCCACACCGGTTCAAGATTCATCAGTTGATGCGCAGTTGCCATCTAGAAGGCTAAGTACCGGTGGTCGGTTACAAGAGAGTTTATGGCCCTCTACAATGAGAAGTCTCAGTGTTTCATTTCAATCGGATAGCATTTCTATTCCTATCAGTAAGAAGGAAAAACCAGTTAATAATGTATCCTCCGATCGCACATTGAGGCCTTCTTCAAATGTAGTCCATAAGCAGGCTGAAACGCCAACTGGGTCACGAAAGCCTACACCAGAGAGAAAGAGGAGTCCTCTTAAAGGGAAGAATTCGCAGGATCAATCAGAAAACGCCAAACCAGTAGATGGTTTACATTCTAGATTGATTGATCAGCATCGATGGCCAAGTAGGATAGGTGGGAAGGTATGTTCTAATTCATCACTGAATAGAAGTGTGGATCTCACCGATAAGAATGTGAAAGCTTTGTCAACTCCAGTTGGAATTGGATTATCTTCACTCAGGAGAGCGCCCATAATTGATAATTCAATAAAACCTTTACAAAAATCAGCTAGTGATACCTCGAGGTTATCACTGGACGAAATTGGCAGAGTAGTGTCTGAGGTGAATTCGTTGGATGATAAATTGCAGCGGTTATCGGGTGCTCAGAAGCTTGTTGCATCAAGTTTATCGGACAGAATATCATTAGTAACTCCTGTTGTTAGATCTCAGTCCTTGCCTACTCCTGGATCGCGTCCTGCATCACCAAGTAGGTCTTCCATCAATAGAGGTGTAAGTCCATCTCGGACAAGACCATCTACTCCTTCTAGAGGGGTTAGCCCATCTCGGATAAGGCCATCTAGTGTCTCCGTTCAGCCCAATAATTCTACTTCTGTGCTTAGTTTTATAGCGGATTTTAAGAAGGGGAAAAAGGGTGCAAGCTATATTGAAGATGCTCATCAGATACGACTGCTATACAATAGATATTTGCAATGGCGATTTGCTAATGCTCGGGCAGAGGCTGTTCTTTACATTCAGAAAGTGACTGCAGAGGTAGGATTTGAACGTTTACTAATATTCTTAGAATGCAGACCTCCTGAACCCGCCATCTATCTTAATGTTTTGTTAATTGCATGGAACTTTTGTTGGCATCTGTCATTTCGGCCTTCTTTCAATAAATATGATTCTAGTCATATGGTGCCTTCACCCATTATTCTAGGTAATAGTTTCCCAGTTTCAATCCCTTTTAGCTGTCTACAACTGTAGTTTTTTTATTATGAAATACAGAAAGTTGTATGCTTGTTTGGAGTAATGCAAAACAGTGAAAAAAATTAGTGGTGCTGTTTGTGAAGAAAATATGCAGCAGGTTGTTAAATTGCACCACTTTTTGTGCTTTGATGGGCCTTTTATGTTTCAGTGATTTTTCATTGAAGATGAACCTTGGCTCTTCAGCTCTTATTCTTAACATTGATGCTGAAAGAGAATTTCCTTTCCTTTGATGTTTTAAATTCATAAAAACATGTTTTGATGGTGCAGAGAACTTTATACAACGTTTGGGATGCCACTTTAGCTTTGTGGGATTTGGTAATCAGGAAAAGGATCAATCTCCAACAGCTGAAGTTGGAGCTCAAACTCAATGCAGTATTGATTGATCAAGTAATGCCTCTCTTTATCATGACATTATTGTTTTAGTATTTCACAGCATGATCTAATTATTTCTATTCATCTACCGAGCGGTTTTCTCTGAAATGTTGGAGGGTGTAGTTCTTTATGGTAACCTCTGTGCATTTTAGATCTATCTATTTTGTTGCGATCCTTAATTCTTATTAATGTAATTTAAAATTATGTGAATAGAAGCTGCAACCATTTCTTCTTGAGGAGAATGAGGGAAAAGGGACATCTTTTCAATCCATAATTTAATTGCCTGCAGCAAGGCATCCTCGTGATTGTCAATGGGAACAGTTTTATTACCTGACATGTCGGGAGTATGTCAAGTGTTTGTGAGAAAGATGAGTTCTAGTCCTATCTAAATGATTCGTGCTATCTAGCTTCAACTTAGACTGGAATTGTTTTGGTTTCTTATAACACATAGGGAAAGCAAATATTTGGGTGTAAGTTCCCACCATTACCACTTAGTGTCTATGGAAATGGAAGTGCAGGGAGCTTCTAATCCATCATGCATAAAATACGCCTATATGTATCTGGGAGATCTTGTATTACATGAACAGATAGTGAATAGGTGGTGAATCGGGGAGCTTTCAAGAGCAGTTTTTCGAAGCTTTAAGTAATCCTTTGGCAATTTTATTCTCACTGAAATGTGGTTTTCTGTTTTTTTGGTGGGGGAAAGGAAGGTGGTGGTTTGAAACAGAAGAAAGGTGAATTGCTATGGTGAAGGAGGAATATTGGTTCACTTGAATGTACACTAGAGTTTTTGAAATTCTGAAGAGCAGTTAATGTATATTTTGAAATCTATATTTTAAAGAGTACATCCTAGCGGTTTAGGCATGTATGAAAAAGAAAAGGTTCCAGCACAAGGAGCAACCTTATGAAATATAAGGGCTGCTGGACTGAACTGGTTAAAGGTCTTCTCCAATCTCCAAAGTACACGTAAATGGGGGAAAAAAGATACAAGCAGTCCATTCCATTTTTTTTCATTATATGTGGCTTGTTTGAACTTGTGGCTCATTATAGAAGCATTTGTGAGAAGGCAGTAGCTAGCATCAACTCAGGATAAGATGGGTTGAATTTACTTAAGATGTTAGGGATGTTAGGCTGTGTGAATCAGAGCCAAAAACAGTATCTGCATGGAGAGTATAAGTTTTGGTGAGATATTGTAATTGATGAGAGAAAGGCCAAAGGAAATATAACTTGGTTGTGGCAGCAGCAAACAAGATAGACTTGATCTTAATGAGCACGAGCATCTACAGGGAGATAAATTGCAAGAGATTTGTTATTCTTTGCACTGCTGCAGCATTGTTAACTTCTAGAATGTGGCTCTAAAATGATGTTGAAGAAGTATGAATCCACCCTAGCGGGTAATTTTAGCATATGGTATACTCAAAATCAAGCACTTAATGTTTGTTCGCCTTCAGAAAAATGCACAACGTACATGAGATGCTATTATTTGACAAAATGTGGTTGCTTTTCTTTTTTAACATAGCAAGTAGGGTCCTAGGCTTGTTTAAAATCCAGCTTATCAGAAGTTTTCACAGCATCTTAGTTCTGTTCCTATAGAATCAAGTTGATGTTGAAGAAAACCAGCTTAGTTTCCTGTTATACTATAAATTCTATATAGTAATTTACAATGAATTGTCTTTTTACGGAGAAACATTTTCATGCGAAAAAGATGTCATGCTGAGGTTCTGGTCAGAGTCAACTTCAAGCATCTTGGTGGTCTAATACCATGTTGAAAATTTATTTTCCATCTGTTCAATTTTTTATCCATGCCTCATTTCCTAAACTAATTTGGAACTGGGGTTCAGTCTTTTGGAGTTGAATCCAATTGAGCTACCCCATTATCTAATTGCTAAGTAAATTGATTCAGATCACCTACCTCGATGATTGGGCTTTACTTGAAAGAGACCATATTAATTCTTTATCTGAGGCTGTGGAAGATCTGGAGGCAAGCACTCTTCGTCTTCCAGTGACCAGTGGAGCAAAGGTATGTTTTGTTTTAAAAGATGATTGGAAGTGATTTCTGGAGAGAGAAATTGTTGATGTTGACATCATTATTGGGATCGTGCTTCTTCAGGCAGATATAGAATCTTTGAAGGTTGCTATTTGCTCAGCTGTTGATGTGATGCGTGCTATGGGATCATCCATATGCTCTTTACTTCCAAGAGTGAGATACATGTCTTAACTATCCCTCATTCAATTTTGTTAATTAGTGCATAAAGCATGATGACGGGTTTTCCCCCCTTGGTTCTCATTTTAGCTGCTTGTTTTTGCCATTATATGGATGATGCATTGTTTAGGCCATAATCCAATTTATTCACTACCGATGGTTGAAGTGGATAAGTTGGGAAAAGAGAATTGGAAATTGATTGGCAAATTGAATTTTTATTTTTATGGACCATGCTCACCCTCGTTTGGGATTCCCATTATGACTGGGACCACTCAGTTGAAATGCAAAATTGATATCTTATCAGTTCTTTCATAGTTTCTTCTGCATATTTTTTTTTCCTAGAAAAAATAGATTGAACTGAATTTACATTTTAGGCTATACTTCTCAATTTCCAATGCCCACCTCAAACTGTATACTGTTGCCAAAATTATTTGCAGATCTAATGCTGGTCTTCTAAACTTTTTTTTTTTTTTTCTGTTATAGGTGGAGGGGATGAATGCTTTGGTTTCTGAGCTTGCCACTGCTGCAGCACAAGAGAAAGCTAAGCTTGATCAATGTGAAGCTCTGTTGGCATCAACAGCAGCTATGCAGGTGAGATAAAAACATGCATGGCTGTAAAACTAAGCTTCCATAGGAAGAAATTTATACCAAATTTAGTCCTTTGATGCAATAATTAACAAGTTTTTATGTTGATTAGATAAAAGCATTCTCGGCAGTGTGAATCAACATTTTTAAATCAAAGTCACTTGTAGGATTGCAAGAACAACGGTTCTCACATTTGGATTTTTTTTAGGAAAATTTGTGCTGTTATGATCAGTAGTACGCTGAATTGCTTCTTAAGAATACCTTCTTTCTACACCATCTACTAGTTCTTGGATTATGCCATTATAACTTTATTGCTATGCTATGTCATTCTTTCTCAGATCATAAACTTTGTTCTTCCTTGAAGGGGAAATGAATTTAGTTGAGTTCATAATTGAAGAATCCCAACGTTTGCATGGTCCCAATAACACCCAACTACTCAATCTCTGCAAGCATGTAGAACAACCTTATGCTGTATTTGCATGGATTGATAATCTTTTTTTGTGCTCTGGATAACATGGCAACTCAACATGCTTTAACTTGTCTGTTGCAAGGTGGGAGTGATTAGGTCTGTTAGGTCTGGATTTGAGTCTTGCACTTGTAGAGGCAGAACAAAATCCTTGCCATTCAATTGCTGTAGTGATAACTGTCCTAGCAGTATCGATCGTTTAAGCTTTTCACAATTTCATTTATTTGATATGGTTGAGGAATGACATTGTTTACCTGGTTAGATATCCGAGCTGGTGGGATCAATCAATATGGGCTTTCAATATCTTCATTCTCTCACTCATGTGCTCAATAATCCTTTTGTCCTTTGGCAATTCATTGATCATTCATGTGGACAATCTGGTCTGTCCTCTATCAGATTGGCTGGCCAAAATCAGTCCATCATTGCTTGCATGGCTTGAAATGATGTTCTTGCAAGAAAAGTTCTATTTTTGTCAGTGGGTACACCTTTAGCTGAGGTGGGGTCCTTGCTTGCTTACATTCAATAACTGAAAAGAATGGAAATCAATCGCTTTTTGTAGCTGTACTTGTCATGCACATTTTGTAGGGTTTCCCCCCCTCAGATATTATTATCATGCCATGCATATTGGATTGTATCTAATTGCATTCATCGTGAAGCAGGTAGAGGAGTACAGCATTAGGACTCATCATATACAAATGAAAGAAGTTCTGGAGAAGCAACAACCACTATTCATGGCAATGAAAACACCCTCATGGCTCTGAGCAATTACTAAGCTAACTTTTCTCACTCAACAGAGATAAAATTACGGGGTCTTCTCTGGTCAAATGTAAATTGGTTTTTTCTTTTTAACCTTAACTTCGGTGGGAAAGTTCATCTTTATTTTATTCTTTTTCTTCATTTTTTTTTCTTGTAATTTTTTATATCAAGGGAATGAAAAGAAAATGAAAGGGAAGGGAAGCGAAGGGTTGGAAATTCAATGTAGAAGCAGATCTCAGAAAAGTAAAAAAGAAATTAAAAGTTACATATTCTATGTTTCCCTGTGAAACAGGCAAATGTGGCACCAGTATTGTTATTTTCAGCATGTACTCGTAGGTTCAAAGAAATGAAAGAAATTTAATCATTGAGGGGGTACAGCTTAACTGAGGTGAGTGGTGTGGTTTAATTATTTAGGTTGTAAAGTTGTTTGCTAGAAATTATTACTTCAAGTTTTATAAATTTTAGAATTATTAAAAATTTATATGGTTATTAATAATTTAGAGTTATTAAAAATTTATATAATTATTAATTTTAAAATTTATAAAATTAGCTTGGAAGAAAATTAAATTGTGTATAGTGATGATACTGGAAATGCTTTTAAAAAGATGTGAAAAGTACTTGAGAGTTTTTGGCAGTTGAAAAACGCTGCCAGATAAAAGAAAAGCTGAAACCATTTGAATAAAAGTAATAGATAGGATCTGACATCCATGACACAAACATTTTGAGTTTAAGCATTAGGGTTGTCTCACAAAGAACTGAAAATTGGAAGAACAGTTGTGAACTGCAATGCCCGGTCAAACAGTCAACCTGATGTTCGTATATCCGTTTGAAAGTAAACCCACTGCATGATCCAACCGGATATATGAATTGAAATATCTGTTCGAAAAGGAAAAAATTAATCAAAATTATTGAAGTTATTTAAACAGTCTTTTATTTTTATATCAAATGATGTATCTTCTAAAAACAAAAACAAGTCTTTGTTGGCGATCTCGCTGTTTACCCATTTGAGACAAGGCGCTCGTTCGAAGCCCGATGATTATAGTTATGGTTTCGTTATATCGGCGGAGGCGAGTTTTTGGGATGCTAGAATTGGTGGGATTTTACGGCAATAGTTGATGGGTTTGGTTTGGATTTGTTTGTTGGCTCTGCTATTGTTGATTCTTGCTTTAAGCTTTGGCGGGCGATTATAGCTATTAAGATGTTTGATAGATTGCCTTAAAGAGATACTGTTTTGTTTAATACAATGATATCTGAGTTTGTTAAGAATTCTTGTTTTGAGGATTCAATTAGAGTTTTTGGAGGTATGACCCAAGTTTGATTTGACCACAGTTATAGCTGTTTCATCACCTGCTGTGGCTGAGTTACAAATCTGTGCATTGCATTTCTGTGAAAAAGGAAATGTTTCGGATAAGCTTAATGACCTGTTTCATGCATCGTTTTCCCCCCTTTTGCTGTGTGTATACCAACGTCGAAAAAAAGAAAAATCACCTGTGACAAATTTGATAGTGGTTTAGCGAAAGCAGTTATGATTTTCTGGTTTTATTGATTTCTATGGGATGTGCATGCGATTCTCCATTTGGGAAAAAAATGAAATCAACAAATTTTTCCACTGCTTTTTTCGCATGCTGCTTACATTATCTGGAGCTGAACACAAAGGTTTGTTTATAATTTCCCCTCAGTTTTCTGACAATCTAGTTCTTATTGAAGGGTTAGGACAAGAGCGATTGTAAGTTATTTTGGAGATCGTGATATCCTTCATTGAACGTGACCGATGGATAATAGCGGAGACTTGCCTCGCAGCTAAGCTCAAAGATAATAGAAAATGTCATCCTTCTGTCATCAATCTCAAGGTAAAGTGCATATGCCTCAAATCTTCACTGTCGGTTTGCCTTTCAGATTGGCCTTAAGAACTTTCTTGCATTACCTTCTTTCCATATCATGTACCACTAACTTTGGTGTGTGCTTTTGTGATCCCGTCAGATATATTTAAGAAACAAGCAGAAATCGACAGTGGTATAAATAGATAATAGCATCTTCCAGCATGGGATCCTTAATCAATGAAGGATTTGAGGTTAAGTTCTTCTAGTGAGGGGTTCTGTGAAGATCTTCACAAGAGCACTAGGATTTGCTTTGAAATCCATGTTCAAGCACTTCGAGTTTTCTTGATTGACAGGGAATTTCATACAGTTTAGAAGAAATCCAATTTTAAGGTAACCATTATTGGTACATGGTCCATGACAGCTCAGGATAACTAGTGAGACTTCAAAAGATTGAACTTCTTGGTGTCCTGAGATGGGTGCAGTGGTTAGAATTTTTGCCATCCAAGTTGTATAAAGCAGAAATATGCACTCTTTTGGGCTGCTAGTGTGAGAACGAGTGATAAGGAAAACATTTTTTCATTCCAATTACAAAACTGGGTTCAATGCACATTGCTACACAATTTTCACTCTAACTTTATTCCTTGTGCATCTCCATCTTGTCAGTTTAGACATCGCATATCGTATTTCCTTAGAAGCAGGATGCACATGTATCTTCTATTGATGCACAAATCAACTAGAAAATAAACACACTTTTAACAGTTGAGTCCACATTGCTTGGTGTCAGGTCCCCTGGTTTTCATCACAAATGGATCAATCCGGACCCAAAGCAAGGAGAAGATGGAAGCCAAGAGCACTGACCATATAACCACTATAGTCGGTGTCCTGTTTTGCCTCCCCATTAGACCTTTGAGGAATGGGTAGAGGTGGACAATCACCCAGAAGGCAAAGAAGAGCTTCCCGAATAGAGGTCCCCATGACTGGTACCCATTGTTTATGGCATCTGAGACTCCAGCAACAACTCCAACAAGGTTGATGATTAAGATAGTGGTTGGAGGGATAAGCAGGGTTGTCCATTTAAAGGCATATAGCTCTCCAAAATCCTCATCGTCTGTTGCCTTGGATGTGACAGTGAAGTTTGTGTCGATACCTGCTAAAACTTTCAGAAGACCTTGGACAACAGCAAAGAGGTGAGCTGATACACCACCTATAACCCAGAATTGCTCGTTTCTCCACCATTCCTCAATGCTTACTCCGCTCCATCTGAGCTCAAGAATGCCCGTGGAAAAGATTGACAAAAACAAGCCAATGAAGAAAAGACTAGCAAAGGTGCTTATCTGGATCATAAACGAATTGGGAACATGTTATCACAGGGTTTAAATAAACAAAATCATGTTCTCATGTTAACATAGGATTTGAAAGAATCTAATTGTATCTTCATTGGATTTAATTCCAGTCTCATTTTTAGAATGTTTTGGCCTTTTAAAGCTCTGTACCCTGTTATTTTATTCTGTGTAATGTTTTCATGGAAAAAAATAGCAGGCGCATTGTTACCTCTGGCATGATAAATTTATCAGTAAGCAGGCAGATGGCAGGGAGGCAACAGTATGCAACCAGTGCTAAGGAGGTGAAGGGGTAGATAGTTGTGTTCACATACGCAAACCTCTCGAGCCACTTGAGCTTTCCTTCCTTGTAGCCATACAACATAGGGCTGTGACGACTGAAGAAAATTTCAACAGAACCAAGAGCCCACCGGAGCACTTGGTTGAGCCGATCTGATAGATTGATGGGAGCTGAACCCTTAAATGCAGCTCTCTTTGGCATACAGTAAATAGACCTCCAGCCACGACAATGCATCTTAAAACCTGTCAGAATATCCTCTGTGATCGAACCGTAAATCCAGCCCAGCTGCACAGGAGAAAGGCAAATTTATTCAATACAGAAACTTCAAAGCACCATATAAATCATCTTTTTATCCTCAATTGCTCAATACATTTCAGAGCTACTGGATTTTTTCTGTTTACATTACCTCGAGTCCCCATTCAGTTTTGTCTTCATATCCACAACTGATCACATGGATGGCTTCTTTTAGCAGAGCTGCCGGACTCGAGGAAGGAGGTACACCACCTTCTTCCATTAAAGTTGAAGTCACAAAAATTGCTGATTGTCCAAACTTCTTTTCAAAATTCATGTGGGACATCAACAGCTCCTTGTCATTATTATCCATTCCTGCTGAACAGGC